GAATCATCAGCAGCATTCACTTTGCAGTATCAGTTTATACTTTCTTTCTTATTTCTTTCTTTTTTTTTTACTATGTGCATCCCAAAGATGGATTGAGATTTGGTTAACACGTATCGACATAGCTTGTACTCTCTTGTCTTCTCCTTTAAGGGTTAATTTTGCTGTATAGACTCTTGTTTAGTAGAATAACTGGTGAAGTAAAAACTTCTGTTTATCTTAGAAGAAGTCCTTTGAAGAACTGCATGAGGCTTATGCTCATCTGTGTCAACTTTTATCTGTCCTGGCGGCTCTTTCATCTTCCTATCTTCCTTTGTGGAGCATTCAGTTCTGAACATTCCTCATAAAGGAAGCAAATGCCTCCTGCTTTCAGTATGACTCTGCATTAACTTGGTTGTTTTACTTCTTATAGAGGCAATTACTTCAGATTTGTTTGTTACTCTTTAATTCATAACTGTAAATTTTGTGTGATGGGTACATTAACAGCAACATTATAGCATGTTTTGATACTGTCCTGAAAGTGTGCAATAAGACAGGTATGTATCTGTAATTAAAAAAAAAGGATTTGATTCTCAGAGTCAGATACGATGGAATTCATGATATCCAGTAAAAACCTAGCTTGTTTTCAAAGTGTGAAACAGACTTACGGAGTTGTTTCCTACCTCTGTCTGAAATTCTCATTGGATTCTGGAGGGAATATCTTCCGTGTATTATACTACACATAGACTAGATTTAAAGCTTAAAGGGAGGCCTTAATTAGTTTTAAGCTCCCACATGACTTTATTGCAGGATTAGAGGTCTGAGTGCTCCTGTATTTTTTTGATAACTGTTATTTACATCAGCATGGTGCTCACACAGAACCACAGGCACGGCTTAAAAGACCCAGATAAGAAGTTGCCAGGAACTCCTCCTCTAGCATATGCCCTCTTTTTATACCCAGTAATCTTTCACCAGCTTTTTACACATGCATCTTTTGCACATTTCTTCCCTCACACTGATAACTCTCTCCCCTTGACAACTTTCATCTTCCCTCCTCCTTAATTTTTCTCTTTTAAGATATTTCTTTTTTCCTGTCCCTCTCAACACCCCGTTGTCTGCTCAGCTCAGGAGGAAGGAGATCCAAGTTGCTTCCTCACCTGGTTCCTTTTTGTCATCTGTTTTTTCTGCCTCTCACAAGAAGAAAGGGATCTGCAGGCTTAGTAATTGCTGTCCACTGGAACCAGTAAAGCACAGTCCACTGACAACCTGAGTAAGTCAGCCTGGAGAGAAAGCAAACACCAGTGGCTGATAACAGCATAGAAGCTGTTGCTCTTGTTTACACAGACATTTTAAATAAACTGCTGTTCACAGTGGCCAGGGATCCATATCCCCTTGCTCCCAGATAGGGAATACATTCCTTCCTTCCCCAGCACCTAGCAGATTCTGAACCACAAATGATCTTTGGGTGTCTGCGTTTCTGGATGCCTCATGTAGGGTAACTTAAGAAGGAGCTGATCTTCAGAAGGTAACTGCCAGTCCTGACACACTAGTTTTAGTAGTGCACCTCAAATTTGAATTGTAACACATCACTGATCACTTTTGCACATGAAAAAACCCCCTGCAGCTTGGTAGCAGTTACTTCAGATGCACATGAACAGGAAAGGATCCTAAATGACCTACGAGAAGCCACTAGTACAATTATCTTTTGCTCTAGCTAAGAGAAAAACAGTCACAAGCAAACCTTTCTAGCCCTTTTTTAGGTAACAGTTTGTCCTTCACACGCAAAAGTAAATTAGCTGTACATGTAATGCAGATTTCTACATATAAATTTAGTTGTATCCCTGTGTTCTATCTTTCTGCTGGAGCTGACCTCTCTTTTCCCCAAGCCCTTCTTGGGAATCAGCCTTCTACATAGAGCTCATCTGAACTTCCCCCTAGCACTTTCCAGGAACCACCTGAACATTTCTTAACTCAGTGTGATCATACCTGAGGGTGAGCTGGCCCCATAGTTTCACCTCCCAATAAAAATCAGGCCACCCAATTAAATCATTACTTCAGCACAGTAACAGAAAAAGAAGTTTTCTGTGAGTTCAGAGTGTGTATATATACACACACACACACACACACACACACACATATATAAAACCCCTCTTACAAGTCCCTCAAATGATTTCATGCTACCTCTGGATTTACTGTAGCCTTGTGTTTTTCTTCAAGGTTTCACGCTTAGGGCAGTGGGAAACCAACACCGTCCGTCCAAGTCTTGGTTTTTATCGCTCTGTAATAGAACAGCAGCTATTTCTAGGTTTGCTGAGAACTTACACAAAAGATCCCAGCAAAATGTTACAACATTTTTGTAGATATGTGAAACAAATAAAAGTTTGGGTATTTTTTTGTTGTTGTTGCTTTGGGTTTTTTTTTAAATGAGTGCCATACAAGAAACAAGAAGCATTTAATTTAATTTCATTCTCCATGATGTGGATCAATTAGTAATTGAATACTACAGATGCGAATATGCAGTGATGTCTCAGCTGTGGAATTTGAAATAAATGTCAGTAATAGTCTGTAACGTATTACACGGACTCCGCTCTGCCTAATTCCATTAGGAACAATAGGGTGGAAAGCCTTACCCTGTGTTTAAAATACATATATATGTAAGTAGTAATATACAAACCCAACTTTGGCTATTTTCATACAGTCAGCTCAAAGCCATTTGTGGAAACATCATGTCTATTAATTTGTTTTGAAAAGAGAAATCCACCATAGTTTCAGAAGTGATGTTTGCTTTATCACATAACAGGAATTACACAGTCTGACTGTATCTAAACCCTCAGAGGGTCCTGCATGAACTGTCAGAGGACTGGTAACAGCTAATGCTGACTAGTAAGTGCTAAAATATTATGCCACATTTCCCTGTGCACTAAGCTTTGCAGTGCACCAGCTTTTTCAGTTCTCCAGGGAGTCCTAGCACCCCCCGTCTGATGTAACAAAGGATTGACTATACGGTCACTTCAAGCCTAAAAACCACCATAATCCAAACCCAAAAACAAAAATAGGAAGAGCAAATGTCTTCTCTTTCTTCACTTCATGAATACTGCATACAGAGTATTTAAAAAAAATAAGTAAAAATCAAACCAAAGCCAAATGCTTGTGATACAAGTCCCTAATTCTTAGCTCCCTGCTGGGTAATACCAGGACGGGGATTTTTTTTTTTTTAAAGAATCTAGCAATATAGTAGCCTATGTTGTGGATCTTCCTCACCTCCAAATAAAGAAGCCTAAATAGATTCTCAGCTGACCATTCATTAAAAAAAAAAACAACAAACAAACATAAATTAAAAAAGAGCAAGAAAGGCAACAAATGCCTTTTCTTAACATTTTAGTGCTCAGTTCCCCAAGCGGTTTATATATAGGGAGCTTCATTCCTGAAACCACACAAATGAGGCTCACAGTCAGAGATTTAATGGGGAATACAATTGACTGGCTGCTGTGAAAACAAGAAAACTATTTACTTTGTACAATGAACAAAGCTGAAGTTGTTTTACCAGTTGCAAAGGCAATGGTGCATTTGCAGTTTGAATTTATATCCACGGAGTCCTGTGATTTTAGGAACTTTTTGCATGTGTTGCAAACCAACAGGAGTTGCCAGATGTTCCACACTTTTCAAATCTAGTTCTTGTTTAGTAGTCATAGAACCATGAATTCAGAAATGTGCATTTTATGCTGTTGCTAATAGGCAAAAAAGGTCTGTGGTTCTGGCTACAAACACTCTCTTCAGTTTTCTAGGGTATACCTACACCCTCTTGCTTTATGCTTTACAGCTATGTGGCTTTTGTGGCAGTTTCTTAACCGTATGAGTGAAGTATCTAGCATCCATTTTAACAATTGATTTTAATATCATGGTCTAGCTTTATCCTTATTTTCTGTGATGCCTTTAAAAATATCAATTTATTAAAATGTAATAATGAAAAACATAATTTTTAAAGTTCACCTAAGTATTACATGAATACTGTTTTCCATCTTATAAATTAAGATTTCTTTATCTGCAGTAGGAGCTGTTGGTGCTACTGTGCAGCTGCTGGCATGAATTTAGTTGCTGTTTGTTGCACTACCTTCTTGATACCCACTGAAGTGGCAGTTCAGAAGAGGCTTTTCAATGCATGACTCTCAAAAGTGACTTACCTGAAGAGCTAATTCTTCTACTCTAACTGTGCTGTGCTGTAAAAGAAACTAACAAAAAATAGAACTGGAGAATAAGACAGATATGACTGACATACAAGGAGGTGTAAAAGTATATAGGCACTGGTGATCTTGGCCAGCTGAGACAGGTAAGCTGATGTGCTGCTGAGAAAAATATGAAATTCACTTGCACTGGGCCATCCTAAAACATATATATCCTATGGGATCAGGAAAAAAAAAAATACAATCAGAATGGGATATTCAGATTACTGAAAAGCAAGTTTTACACTTAGAGTATTCAAATTGCATTTGCTTCTGTGTTCTCAGAAAATTCTATGATTCTGGGAAAAATTCTATGAAAAAAAAGAGTGTAAGTAGGTCAGTTCAGCTAATGGTACAGAAAATCTGGAATTACACTACAATGCTGCTGAGTTTGTAAGCAGCAATTCAGACTGCTATTTTCAAATTAAAGGATGAAGTGGACATAACTTTGTTTCATTCATTTTACAGTATTTTTTATGTAATCTCAGTGCTAGTTTACCTGATAGTGCAGTATTTTATTATGACTTTTGCATCCGGAAGTTACATACATTTTAAATAAATGTAAAACAAAAGACACAACTATAATCACTCAGAAAGTTGTTTGGTTTAAGGTACAGGATTCCAAGTTCACTAAAAGGAAGGACTACTTTAATTCCCTGTGTACTGAGACCTTGTCTCCAACTACACTTTAACAAATACACCCTAATAAATTTAAAGAACAAAACATCAGTAGAAGCTAATCTTACAATAGAGACCAGTTCTCTACTACTGAAATTTGCATTTTCCTGATGAGGAGGGGAAAAAAAAAATAAATTGGTCCACATACAACGTCAAACGTGTAAAATCAAGTCTAAGCTGAGTAAACATTGACCTTTTTATTCAGTACCAGTTGTAGCGATCTCTCGATGGTAAATCATAATGTTCTCCCTCTTCCTCTTCAGGTCCATAATCTAATGGCAGCCCATAATTGTAATCAACTGTTACAACTGGTAATCTTTTGCTTTGTTCCATCTCTCTGATAGTTTCACCTTGGAAAGGTTTTCTTTCATAGTCTATTGAACTATTGTCTTGGTGTACAGATGAAGATGGATGCATTGTTCGTGAAGAATATGGTGCAAATCTGTTTTTTCCTCTATTAAATTCATCTGAGGGATGCATTCTCCTATTGTCTTCAGGACAGTTTGGTCGATTACTGTAAGAAAAACAAATAAGCTCAATGAAAAGCTTAGAAATAAACCAGTTGTTTTATTGTTGGTGGCCACCATTAGAAATTAGTGTAACCTTGAAAGATCAATTCAGACTCTTACTCTTTTTTTTACCCCCTAAAATTAAAATCCTCTCTACTGGATGTTGCAAATTTGTTTATATTAATTTTTCAATTCTAGTGATTAAAATTACAGCTTTTTATAGTAAGTAACTCTACAAGAAGATGTTTTTTTTTCCAAGTGCTGTTTCTAATTAAAATTCCCTGTTTACTGAGAATTTATTTACCTAGGGGCTATTTTTGTTCCTGAGCTCATGTTTTCATTTTTGTGAATAATATGCAACAGTAGCTCTCTAGTACATAGTCTCAACAGGCAATAAAATGCTTTGGATTTATAGCTCCAAATATTTTAAGTATTAATTCTTCTGCAATTGGAGAATCACGCTCCTACAAAATACATATGGAAGAATCTACAAATGCATATACGGTACTTTTTGGTTTGAATTCCCGTTATTCTCAAGTATCTTACTTTGTACAATAAGTGGTGTATAAAGCTAATTCAGAACAATCTTTGTAATTTTAAAATCTTCTCCCTCACTGAGCCATAGATTAATTTAAGACTGGAAAGGATCTCTGGAACCACCTAGGGCCACCTGCTCAAAGTAGGTCTCATTTAAAGAATCTGTGCAGGGGCCATAACCAGCGGAGTTCTGCGTATCTCAAAGGATGGTGATTTCACAGCTGCTCTGGGCAACCTGTTTCAGTGTCTGACCTTCCTCACAGCAAAACTCATCAGCTTGTTATATATGGCAGTGAAGATTTAAATATAGCATCTGTATTTTGATTTTTTGCTTCCTAACAACAGCTTTTAGTATTTTTGTACTACATTAGCTTGAACTATGCTTGTCATGCCAATGACTTACATCAGGGGTTCTCGAACTATGTCATAATCACACTCAGCATAGACAGACCACAAATCAGCCACGTTATTTGCTCAGTGTTCAGATTCAATGGTTTAAACTACATTTAAGCAAAAGTATTAAGATCCATTTTTACACTGTGCAGTTAATTTGTATTTTATTTTTATGAACATGGGGGAATGTGAGTATAAGGATAAGTCAGAAAACAACATACAAAATCCAATATTTACCTGTAACTTCTGTTAAAGTCATCATTATCAGACCCATAATCTCTGTGAAGTGAAGGAGATGAGGAGAAAGGAGGTTCTGGTACATTTTCATGGGAAGAAAAAGACTGACTTCTGCAAATAAGCAAAAGAATTGCATGTTAAGAAGAGTACCAACAACTGTAAGCTTTGAAAATACATGTTTATTGAATGAGATAAAAATATTTTTACTTTTAATTAAAAGCTGCTTAAAATTTTAATAAAAACTATGACAATTGTATGAATTTAACACCTCAAAATAGTAAGCTTCATTGTAATGAAACCCTCTGTTTCAGCTGTACAATGGAAGAAATTAAATTGACATTTACTAGCAAAAAAAAATAATCTGAAATACTTTCCAAAATATTAAAAATATTTTGAAATATTATGTCAAGAGTCCAATAGGTTTACTAATAAGTGATATATGTATTTGGGAAAATATAATGCAAGATCAGAAGCAAAGGGATTTCTAACAAATTATTAACTCATGGAATAAACAAATGCAAATCAAACTTCCTTGTTGCATTACTGTTTATTGCTGTTTGGCCAAGGGCATAAATAAAATTTCATATCCTCTTCTGTCATGAGGATTGCTTTCTAAATATGTTTCTATAAAAAACAAAGTAGGACAGAGAGTTTTGTTTCAAGCTGACTCTTAAAAGGTAAAGGAAATGTATAAGCTTTAAAGAAGCACAACCTTCTAATTTAGGAAATACTGGCTTTCAAAGATGCAACACTCCTTCCGTAAGTCAAAATAAAAAGAGTTAATAAACTGATCATTTATATATGATTTTAAAAGGATGAGTAATTGTTTATTTTTTAAAATTAATTAATTTGACATTTAATTTAGAAGTGCTGAGGTTTATACTTTTAGTCTCTAAAGCAGTCTTACAGCTAAATGATGCTTTACCTGTCAGAACACCATTCATGTGGCAAGTCATCGTGACCTGGACGATCATGAAAAGGTCTTGGCCTTTGTCCATACCCTTTATCACCATAATCAAAATCTTTTAGCTGAGTCTGTTCCTGTATGTCATCATAAGGCTGATGGTCATGAAAAGGTCTTCGCCTTTGTCCAGGACCTTTATTATCATAATCTTTCTGTTGCATCTCTGTTTTTAAGTCATTGCGAGGCTGGTGATCATTGAAATGTCTCAACCTCTGCCCACGACCCCTGTTAACAAATTCAAAATCTCCCAACTGCACCTGTGGCTGTAAGTCATCATGTGACTGATAGTCATGGAAAGATCTTAGTCTTTGGCCAGGTCCTTTGTTGACACAATCTAACTCTTCCATCTGCATCTGAGTCTGAAATTCATCATGAGACTGGTGGTCATGGAATGGTCTTCGTCTCTGGCCATGGCCCCTGCTACCAAAATCAAAATCCTTTGACTGCCTGTCTTCTTGCAAGTCATTATGAGATGGACGGTCAGGAAAAGATCTCTGCCTTTGTCCATGACCTCTGTTAAATTCAGTGTCCCTTGATTGTCTCTCTGCCCGTAAATCATCATGAAACTGGTGTCCATGAAAGGGTCTCAACCTTTGTCCAGGTCCCTTGTTACTGAAGTCTGGGTCCTTCAGCTGAATGTCTTCTTCATAATCATCATAAAACTGGTGATCAGGAAAGGGTCTTTGCCTCTGTCCTGGTCCCCTATTGTAGTCCCAATTTCTCATCTGCATTGGTGCTCTTAAGTCATCCTGAGTCTGATGGTCATGAAATGGTCTTCGTCTTTGTCCAGGTCCCTTATTAATGAAATCAAAATCTCTCAACTGTATCTGTCCTTGCAAATCATCATGAGAGTGGTCATCATAAATTCTTAATCTTTTCCCAGACCTGTAAAGAAGTTTTTGTCTTAAAGAGACTATTGTAGCTACAAGTCATTAATGAAAACTTCTTTTTAACCAAGAATTGATGTAAAAAACATTGCAAACGTACCCAAGCTACTAAGAATCCAATTAAGTAAATTATAAAACTTTAAATGTCACAGTAGAAACTGTGACAAACATTCAACTGTAATTCTATAGTGCTCGTTAAACAGGCAAAACCAGTGATTCTAAATGAATAAAATGTAATTGCAGACTACTGTAAAATAAAAAAGGACAAGCAAAATAAAACTCTAATTTTTTCCAAGTGAACTAATTACTTACAGACTCCCAATAGCACACATTCCCTTTTTTCCCCCCTCAACTTTTCACTGTTTCACCAAATTCTATGAATTTATTTTGCATCAGTAGATTATACTTATAAAATCTTTTAAAATTTAGAATATCTCTACTATTTTTAATAAGAAACAATTATCTTCTCCCCTATGCGATTATTTTGGCTTTTTATTCAACGTTTCATCCTATTACCCTTGAAAATCTTCATTTGGGAACCGCTTTTTTTTATTGCATGTGGTGGGGGAATAATATCTTCATCTGAATCCCATACATCCATTCCAAGGTTACTAAGAAGAATAAATACATCTCATATAAGCTTCCTTTTTAAAACCATACTATTGAGAGAGAAAAAAAACCCAAAACCCCACATAAAAAATTATTCAGTTCAAAATGACAGAAATTTTTGCATGTCAAATTAAATTTACACATTCATAACTTAGCAAATTTTAATCTTGTAAATGTATTTGGGGAAGGGCTGCAGGGAAAGCAAAGACAATACCTAAACTTCATAATCTTGGAAAAACATCCTAAAGGATTTGAGACAAGCACCATACCTGTTAAAAAATCTGACAAGAGACTAACTTAATCATGCAAAGACTATGAAACAATGGTAGCAGTAAAACAAAGGGCATTTACTTAAACTAAAAATATGCAAATCAGTTTTTAAGTTTAAAATCAATTTACTGCTACAAGATATCATTGGTACAAATACTCTGGAAAATGTAAAGGTGAATATGATAAGCATAAAATTCTTACACACCAGGGACACACTACTATGAACAAAGGAGTTTCAGAACAATTTTCCACTTTCCCATCATTTTGTACTCCTAAAACTGGTGAGGGGTTTTTTTGTTTGTTTGGGGTTTTTTTTGGTTTTTTTTTTTTTGGGTTTTTTTTTTTTTAATATCTGGTTCTACCATGCCAACAACAGCTGGCAGATCATGTAACTTCTGAAGGTATCTTTGCAGCAGCTCCTTTCAGCTTATAATGAGAATACAGACTTGATACACTTGACAGAGTATGACAGAAGTAAACCAATGTTCAGTAGTAGTTGTCAAATTAGAAAAATCTTTTGAACCATATAAATTCAAAAGGTGAATGAAGTACATGCACTTCATGTTATTCTATCAGAAGTCTTACAATATATGTGTAGTTGCATATTAAAGGTTTAAGGTTAATTTTGGCTTATGACTGGAAGTGAACTTTTAAAAATATAAGCAGACATACTGGAAATGTTAAGCGTACAGCTAAAAGCTTTTGTTGTGTTTACCTTCTCATTGGTTGTGTTCTGAGATCTGTGAGATATACAAGACCATCCATGCGATGACCTCTAGCATCACCAAAAGCTAAGGAAAAAGAGATACAAGACTAATGAAATGTGCTCACACCAAGCTACAAAAACATAAAAGGCAAGTTTCTGTTCAGCATGAGATACTGAATTTCAAACAATTCAAACTTGATATTAATACTTAAGCAAGGTGGCATCACAGCAGCATTTTTTTTTAACACCTGAAACTAGTAGTGGTAGCAACCCATGAGTCAAACCCCTTCAAAACAAAAGAAAAAAATGTATTAAGTAGCTGAAACCTATTCCTACTATGCAGTCAATTTGCTAATGCTTGAGTATTGCCTCAAATAGAATCAACACTCAAATAAAATGTACCTTAGTTCAAACTGTATAAATACCTTGGATTGCTGCCTCCGGATCCCAGCCTTCAACATCTATAAGATACCTGAAGAAAAATATCATTATATTATCATCCCAAAGGGATTACAAATTAATATAAGGATACTATCTTTCGTGAGCCATGATCCCTGTCTTTACAGAACACTTACCTACATATAAGGTACCCAGTTCTATTAATTCCATTAGTACAGTGAACGCCGATGAGTTTCTCTATCAAAACGGAAACGAGAGTCTTTAATAGTTCAGAAATTGAAATTACTAAAAAATAAGAGCAAGACAAAAAAAAATAAAATGCTACTTTTCTAGGAAAGGCTACTACGATGGTCACAAAAAATGTTTATGAAAAGGGATGTAGGAAGCTTGTCAGTCTGTAAAACCAGAACTGAGATACTGGGATGAAGAACAACAATATTTAAGGTCAAAACTGGCGTAAGAATAAATATTAACTGAGAGTTTTAGGCTAGATTTTAGAAGAAAATCTTTAATTGTCAGAAGAAAAAAGTTGTAGCAGGGACAAAGTACTGACAGACAGTCAGCAAAATGTGACTTTAACAAATTCTTAAATGATAGAAAATACAACTGCTTGCCACAGACAGGACAGTTGTATTGCCATGTATGTCCTGACAATTCAGACACTAAAAAACCCCAACTTCTCAAAAATTATTTGTAAGAAGAATCTAAAATGAGGACAAGTTATGATGAGTAAATTAACATAAAAATGAAAGTTCTTCCAACTCTGAAGTTACATAAAACCTTGCCAAAATGGTTTTGCTAGCTAGAACTGCAGGTCTTCATCCAGGAACAAATTATTTCTGAGAATCAGAAATAACTAGATTCAAATACAGACTTGTTTGTTACAGGAAAAATCACTAGATCAAAACCAGAAGAAAACTCATAATCTCCAAGTAATTTCCCTAAACTAAAAAAGAACAAAGGAAGAATTTACATGCTAACTTCCTGAGCAAAGACAAAGGCTTCTTCTCATACCTTTTCAATTTCCCAGCACTTTTAATTCAGGCTCTCATACCCAAGATTTAGGTCAGATCTCCTTCACAAAACAGTGGATTATCCACAGCAAACACACAGGTTTTGCAGCAAAAACTCTGTGCATTTGGGCAGTTAATATCTCTACCTTCTCACAGAAAATGCCAAAGTAACCACAGCAAACAGAACGAAAAAGCTTGAAAGAATGGTCCTCCAATATTTGATGGACAAACAGCTAAAAATCTGCCTACAAAGAATCACTAGCAAAAAAAGTGAGAAGGTAAAAGCTACAACAGCGTGTGGCAAAATGAATGCAAATTTATTGACAGAAAGTGCCTTATACAGCAAGAACTGTACTATTGCATGAATACTAAGAGCAGAGCCATGCTGTGGAAACACTGATACTGACAGTAAAATGATTTTTAAGAACTTCTAGGATACGAAGGCAGTAATGACTCATGAATCAAAATACTGCTACAGCAGACTAAACGGACTTAAATTGCTTACACATATCAATGTCTAGTGTCACCAGAGAAACCCTGTGCTATTTAGAACACCCATAAATGGCTGGCAGCTACAACACTAAGCTGATGGTAGACAGTTTGGGTCAGACAGATGAAAGCCTTGTTGCAGTTACTTGGACATATACTCAAACATAATACTATTAGGAAGGGCATTTAAGTTACTAGTAATTTTTTGAAGACATGTTTTGAATGAAAAAAAGACATGCAGTGGTTCACATAATGTATCTTATTATGGCAATAAAGTGGAAAGTGCTATGGAAAGTCTGATATCCCTGGTGTTGTAAATTATCTATTGAAATTAATAAGTGATACAGTTAGCACTGAAATACAATTTATGGGGTTTTACAAAATAAGATGCTGATATTTACCATTTCCTGCATTTTCCCATAGGAATTTTCTGACCCATTTTTTGAACTGTAGGATAGTAGCATTATCGGGGACTTCAAGTCCAACAGTATAAAGTTTCTTATACTGCACACTTTTAGGTAAATCCTAGCAAGAAAAAAAAACCAAACAAACCAAAACAAAACAAAAAGGTAAGAAAATCATTGAAGTCTTGCATCAATGAAAAACCTTAAGTGGTATCTAACATAATGCCACTATAAAACAGTAGTTCAAATCCTGAGTAGAAACTGAAAACAATCTTGACACAATTCTATAGAGATACATTCTCATAAACTACCATTTACATTCCCACTTTGAACACCTGATCCTAAACAAAGAACTGTTTTTACAGAAGACTTACTTATCCTTGCTAATAAGGCAGAACATTAAGTAAAAAAGAACAGATTATTGTAATTTCTTTCTAACCCATTTTACAGTTACAAACATTTGTCCTTCCCACCCACAATCATATATATACTCTCATATTCACCCCCTTAATGCTTACAGCCCATGCACATTCAAAGATTAGCAGGCAGTTATAACACTATTTATCCTCCTTTTCAATAAAAGGCTGATAAATCACAACTGTTTGGTAAAAAATTTGCAATAAATTAAATAGTTTTAAAATGTACACTTTCTTAGTGGATTCCACAGAATATCAGTTAGAAAGAACTCAAGGAATAAATTCAAATGTCTTCAGGACACAGACTGTAAGTCTTTTGCACCTGTGCTATGATGCCCGACACTGAAGTCTTTATCCATTACTCTAAGTTACCATAATACAAATAAGCCACAGATGCAACTAGCTGGGAAAAGGAGTTATTTCCTCTGTGGAAGAACATCTAGTTTCTATTGGAGACACAAAATAAGTCTAGATGGCTTACTTGTCTATTCCAATGCAAGATAAGCAAATGCATAAATACTTCAAAACAAAGGTTGCA